AGATAGGGGTCGTGATCGTGACAAAAATCGAGATTATGATCGCAATAAGGACAAAGATCGGGATCGAGAGCGTCGAGCTCGTGAAGAAGAGAGACGCGCTGAACGTCGTCAAGAATTTGTTAAGCCGTTAGAAAATGTGCAGCCACCAGCCGAGAAGAAGAAGAAGGTACCGATGGAGACAGAAGGCTATGCGGAATGCTATCCCGGCGGTGTGTACGAAGAGGGCGTCGAAAGCGACGACGAAGCAGATTATTCCAAAATGGACATGGTTTGTTGTTTCATGTGTGGTGGACAGATCAAAACATCCCGTTATTTCTGTAAAGCATTTAGAAGCGAATGGACTGCTAGTACCTCCTCAACATCAGCAACTGTTGAAATTGCAAGAAACAAGCTGAAAGTGGACCTGGCTTCTTGATGTGAGTCAGCATTACCAGTTTACCGCCGAAGCGAATCAGTGTTTAGCACTCCATCATCATATTTTTAGCAGTTGTTTTTACATTGCTCCTTCGCTCCTTCCTGATGTCTTATATGGTCATCCAAGTGGATCCTTCTTTCGTACTGGCTGCCTTCCTCGTGGTGTTTCAGCATTGCATTTTTAAAATCCGCCTCATCTGCTTGTTGGTTGTCCCTCATTTTGCCATACGTCCAGTGCAGCTCTTTTTCTTGCGTGCACTTTCTTGATAATAATGCCTACACTTCTTTGTTGGTTTGTTGCCGCTAGTGTCATCTTTGGGAGGAATAATTGTGCTGCTCGTACAGTCTAGGAATTTTACGCTAGTGAAGTTACCAGATTGCACTAATGCACCTGGCAAAACTAAGCCAAACCTGTCAGTCCCTTATTGCTTCCTTCTAATTAGCCAAAAATTGTACGAAAAACATTCCTATCAACGAAACTTCTGCAGATTATACTCTTTAGTGATGTTTTTGAATGTCATTTACACTCCCTCTCTCCCTCAGTCAGTCTTCGCTCCCTCAGAAGCATAGGAAATTAGTTCATCAGTCTTGTACTGCGTTGTTTTCATTTTTTACCCAACTTCTGAAATGCACGTATATCTTGTTTGATGGATAAGTGCATCCCTTAGTATCTTAATCAGTAGATTATCGATACAGCTGTCCAGCCTAATTTTTTAAACTTCAGTCTTATTTTTTCACTACAGAGTTGTGCTGGGTTGCAAATGAAATTATGTTCTCCTTTTTTATCAAAGATTTGTTCTGGGAAGGAATCTCTTCACTATCTCTGGATCCTTTGAATCGTAACGTGATCATCATTACGCCGCCAGTCCACAGCAAACAGCTGGAGCTTCTGTACTTGGGCCTCTTTGCACATACACTCTCTGTTTTTTCTAGTCGTTGCTTCAAGTAGTACTTTCCTATTATCACCCGCTTTTAGCGACGTTTTGCGAGTATGCGCGATGCGCTACCATCAACGAGATGTGCCAGATATTCGAATCTTGTTTTCGTAGAGACTGGATGAACAGACAAATTGAGTTTCTTTGGATTTGTGCCGACAGATATGCGCGGCCTGGTTCCTAATTCATGTGCCTTAGAGGAATTTTGTTCGGAAATGGAGTAA